AAAAAAAAAAAAAAATAGTTGGTTTTTACCGAAATTTTAATTTTAATTTTTTGTAAAAACTAATTATTATAATAATATATAGTTTCCTAATTAATGCGTATCATATTATATTTAAAACGTAAATATATTCATCATGAAACTTACCAACTGCGCCAATTTCAATATCCCCGGCAAGGTTTTGAAATACTTGTAGTTGATTTCAACCCAAGAGAAAATGTTATTGATGTTTCCATTTTCCACTCCAGGTTTACCAGGTTTGGAATCGGGATTTTGAACGGTAACCACAGTGTCCGGCATTATTTAAATATAATTTTTTTTCACGGATTTATTTATAAAACTAATATCGTATTCTTGTACAATATTATTGCGTTAACGTGATATAATATATTTATAATATCAATTATTATGTACCTACGTAAACGTCGTAAACGTTTAAAAACAAATGAGCCCGCCGGTCGTTGCTCGTGTGTTGGCTGGAATTGAACTACTCAACTACCTATTCGAAAATGTTCACGCTGAATTACGGCCAGCCAGCAACTACACAGCTCGTATTCGTAGCGTGGCGTCTAGAGAGGGGCAGTCGTGTATGAACGAGAATAGTAATCTCCGTTTTGGTTTCCATTCAAACAATATTATGCTTATATTGTTTATTTTGTTTATCTTACGATTATATTGAGATATTATTTACATTGTTTCCGTATGACCGTATAATATGTATGAATAATATAATATATAATCATTAAAATTATCTAATATATTTCTAAAAACTACAAATAAGTGATATTATAATATGTGTAAGATGTTTTTCTGTATTATAATAGTTATATGTATAAGAAAAATATATCAATTCCAGTCCAAGTGCCCAACCCATTGACAAAAAAGGAAAACGCTTTACGCTWACAAAGCCACGAAATGACTAATTTACAATCTTGTCGAACAATGATTTAATAACATTTTCACATTTTTAATTTTAATCTAATTTTAAATTGTGATGTTTGAACAGATAAATACATAGAAAGTTAGCAACTGTTAAAGCAGTATAAAATAATGAAAAACTATTAAGAGGACGCCGCACCCGCATGTGTTGTCTCCGTCTTTTACAAACGTAAAACATGGCAAAATCTGTTTAGCGCGGGACAAYTTTWCTYCCTYWRTATTTATAGTAGAATTACCAAAATTCCACAACGCATAGGTAAGAACTTTATCTGTGTCATAGCGTCGTTATTTTTTTGATAACATAAATATAATTAAAGTTATAAGCTTAAGAAAATACATTTATTTTTCATTAAATTACTTAAAATTATTGGTTTGTGCTATCAAAAAAATAACGACGCTATGACACAGATAAAGTTCTTACCTATGCGTTGTGAAATTTTTAAATTCTATTAAAATATTTAGGCAGAAAAGTTGTCCCGCGCTAAACAGATTTTGCTATGTTATACATTTGTAAGACGGAGAAAACACATACGGGTGTGGCGTCCTCTTAATATTAACTAGTAAGTAATATCTCAAAGAAAATTTGGTCACAAATTATTATATACAATATTTAGTGTAAGCTTGATCAAAACGGTACTAAACAGTAACCTATGAATACTAAATTTCCTTTATGCTTAATACTATCATATTATAAATATTCTTTTCTCATTAAGTAAGTTTCTATTTAATTTATTATATTCATCGTATCAAATATGTATATTCATTTTAATTGAGTTATTTTTACGAATAGCATATGTGATAAACATATTAATTGTCTATGCTCTTTTAATATTTATAACACAATGTAAAGTATATATTAATCGTTGGCACTTAAAATTCCTTTTACCAAATAACAAAAAAGGAATGTAGAAATGCACTGCCCTAATTTGTATAGTATCGTTTACAATGAAATTAATTACAAACTCTTCTAAATAAACTAATAACTACATTGAAGAAGTTTCAAAAATTTAAATTCAAGCATTTTATATATATTTTTAATTATTTCAATAAAATAAAATAGTGTCTTTATTTTAGATACAAAAATATAAAAGATACAAGTGATACAACACACATGTGGATATTTTAATAGTTATATCATTGGTTAGTGCAATAGCGTGCAATAGCGAGCGCTAAGAACATATTCAATTGATGATTCATTTTTAATGTACATTATACATAGGTATCTAGATATATAGGTAGGTTATGTGYATATTATATTATGTACATTTTTTATGACTTAACGAAGAAAATTTGAATTTATGGATTATCAATAATTATCATTGTAGATGTTTAAAAATGATATGAAATGTATTTACTATTTACTATTCAATAAATTATTTTATTATGCTTGTCATCACAACGTCCMCCTACTTTGAATCCTTTTTTTGGTGTAAATMGAATTATGTGTTATTACGTRGTAGTGTGGTAAATAATATAATTATTTACTATACACATTACAGATTATAGTTTACCTAAATGATTTTCAAATAAAGACTAAAGACTAAATCTCAAGTTTCCAATAATAACTTAAAATACTTATATGCTCGATTTTCTTTTTTTTTTCCTACTAAAATTGGTGTATTATATCTATAATTTTTAATATATCTATTTTCAAGTATCTCATAAATCATAATGTTATAATAATATTAATTCAATAGTAAAATTATGAACTGGCGTCGTTGATAGGCAACTAATAGTACACCAACACCACTTGTCGGGAAGGTTTATAGATAATATAATATAATTTATAATCTTTGAATCGTTTGTCCATTTTTTTTCGTTAAGGTAACTAAACAAGATGGWAACATAAAATACGAAATTTGATGCTTGCGCCTAGGAGTGTACAAGAAATGAGGATAAACGTATTCGAAATTTTGGCCATAAGCCGATGAATTTATGAGTTAATAGAGTCTAGAAATACTCACCGAAAATCGTTTTAAAACAATGCACCGTCGCTAGATGGTCATAAGTGGACGTCTGCGTTATATGATGGTTTTAAGATAAATGGTAAATGCATACATTAATTTTAGTTGTTACCGTAATTTCTTAATTTATGACATTGGTTAATGATTTATCTTAGTAATAGACAATTATATTATAGACTAAATAAAGTCAAAATTAGCAATTGGACTTCGCGGGATCATAATTCAACGACTAAAACGCATATTAAAAGAAACTATAAAAATGGGTTATGGTTACTTCCGAGTGTGGTCTATAATTTACATTGCATGCGGAYCTATTGCACAACGGTTTGATCACTAATTCAAAATAATAGACWAAAACGTTTGTGAAAAACTGAAATCGCTTAGGAATTTCRGATTTACGTAAAAAACAATGATCACATAAACAATTATGCAATTTTTATTTCGTGTCAAAACTGATACCTATAAGCTGTTAGTGAGAGGTAACATTATGTTACTTTTTAGCTTAATTTTCTGATAATCTGTAATTTTACAAAGTAATGTAAGTACCTAATGTACAAAATTAAAAACAAATTTTCGATACATTTTTATCTGTATTGGTAATTAACTATTAAATAAACTTGGCCCAGTTAATTGAGTTTGGCATGCTTGATGGACTATATACTTTATATTTTATAGTAACACGAAAAATATTGGGAGTATAATTTACTTGTGTTTAATACATTATCCCTTATTTATAATATATTTAAATATTAAATAGTTATCTTCAAATGTTTTTTTTTATTTTAAAATTATAGGTACTACCTACCTAAATTTTAGACATAACATTTTATTTTAAACCTATATGTTTGATGAGATTTTAGTAAAAAACCTTAAAAATGTAATATACAAAATTCCTCATAAGTTTTACAGTTAATTTTTTTAACAATTAATCTAGTGTTTACATTGTTCATGAAAAAATTAAGAAAATTCACTATTTTTTTTTTTTTTTTTGGTATATATACTATTTTTAATTTTTATACTCAAAGTTTGAAAATGTAAAATAAGTTTTATAAATATAAATTATAAATAAATAAGTTTGTATAAATTATTCAAACAAGAATACAAAAATGTTTAGTTAAAGTCAAATTCATAATTCATAAGGGTTTGAATTTAAAATGTTGACGAAATTCCTCAAAATTATGAATTAATTTGTAGACATGTAAGCAACATTGCGACAAACCATCTCGGCGTTCCCGATYGGATTAATTGTTTTTCATCACATACCTATAATGATTTATAATTAAATTCAAATTTACTTGAACCCTCCTCTAATGTAAATACGCTAATACCCTAGTGGCTTGATCTACAGACATGATGTTTACTGTGGATTGATGACGGTCTGAAATTTGGGTGCATAATATTCATTAGCCCATTAGGTAATGATTATTGATTACTGACATATTGTCAAAATATTTATTTCAACAAACGTTTTTTTAGAGATGAATACATTTCCCCCCCGCGAATTATTCCCAAGTCATGAATAATTATAAATTTATATTATAACAAAAAACAATCAATATATTATGTTACAGGATTTTCGATCTAAACAACCTCGTTGACATTGATAGTGACGGTAACAGAATACAGTCATAAATAGATACGGTGCTGGCATGCAGCAGGCTGATGCATATTCAAGTGCACCGTACAAGACAACAAGTTCATTCGGTCACCGGTCGTCATTACTCATTATCAGTAGCGTTGATAACAACGGATGACTTTGTGCATTGTACACACAACACACTACACTTATAACAACAGACTATCAGTGTTATTATTGTACCTATATAGTTTGTTTTTCGTTCACAATTTTTTTTTTTTATTTTCTTAACTGTTTCGTATGACTTGCATTATTTTCGATTTCGACACACTCTACTACTGCGGTTGTCCATAGTCGTCGACACATTTTATAAATCATATTTTATTGCCACCGCCATTGTGTACTTGTGTGGTGCATGATGAGTGAATTCAAACGTTTATGTCTGCTGTTGCCTACTATAATTGCAATTACAGCCACATTAGTCCAATGCGATGGCGATTTGCTCAGGTAAGTAGTGTTACTTTGGATGATTCACAAATAACGACAAATATTTACTATTTACTCGCATTGTTCTTTTGCTTTTTCAGAGTGAAGCTCCACAAAATTGACAGTGTACGTAAGCAGCTCAAAGAGGGGACTTTTAATTTCTTAGGCCAGCTTCGACGTCGCTATGATCTGTTAAATGCCGAACCATTGTACAACTATTTAGATGTAAGCATTTCATTATTGTCCCCTTATCTATATGTGTTATTTTTCATTTCGATTTACCTTTTTTGCAGGCTCAATATTATGGACCAATTACCATTGGAACTCCCCCTCAACCCTTCAATGTGGTATTTGACACGGGTTCGTCAAATCTGTGGGTGCCATCAAAACAATGTAGTATTTTGAACATAGCATGCAGTAATTAACTATAAATATTTTAATCATTACTAATAATGCTATTTGTTTTTTGCTAAATATATTTTTTTTTTAGTGTTACATAATAAATATGATATGTCCAAATCGACTACATATCAAAAGAATGGAACAGAGTTTTCGATTCATTATGGTTCAGGAAGTTTATCTGGCTATTTGTCTACTGATGTAATTTCTGTTAGTACATGTTTTTTTTTAAATAAAATAACTCTACATAATGTTCTAGAATTATATATCAATTACAAGTATGGCAAGGATTCTAATTTATAATAATTATTTGAATATTATTTTGATTTAATTGCACAATTATTGTAATATATTTTACTTATCATTATTTTTAGGATTTAAATACAGTGATAAAACTTAAAATATACTTAATAAAATAAGATAATGTTAGAGTAACATAAATAAATTTCAGTCATATTTTTACCAAAATCTAAAAACCAAAAATAAATTATTGTATAAAAGAAAAAGTACTGATAGAATGATATAAATTGATCGAATTAATCTTGACCGTTTTCATCATAAAGTAGTATAAGTATTGAGTTTTGGAAATAATTAGTACCTATGGTTTTTGTGTTAATTGCTATCAATATTCTTCTTAAATTTTTCAACAATTGTTTTCAATTTGTTTATTATGTACAATTAATTTTTATGTTATTATTATTTTTTTATTATTTTATATTTTCTTTACTGAATTTAATAATAATAATTAATAACCATTTAGATGGATGGAACTCCAATATCTAATCAAACTTTTGCTGAAGCAATCAAGGAACCAGGATTTGCTTTTGTTGCTGCCAAATTTGATGGAATTCTTGGTTTAGGATACGACACAATTTCTGTTGATGGAGTTGTTCCCCCGTTTTACAATATGGTTAATCAGGGTATTATAAAAAGTGCCATATTCTCATTTTATTTGAACAGGTAATGATGTAATGCATTTTTTTTTWAATGATTTATAGAATTTTCTACATTGMATTGTTAAAAAATCTTGAACATTATTCAAAATATTTAATTTTTTATTATCTATATATATTAATTTAGGGATCCATCTGGTACTCCAGGTGGTGAAATAATATTTGGTGGATCTGATCCTGAAAAGTATACTGGACCCTTTACTTATGTTCCAGTTACCAGACATGGTTATTGGCAGTTTGGTCTAGATGAGTATGTTTTCATACATATTTAGTATTTTTTACAAAACTGAATATTTATTAGTAACAAAAAACTATTTTCATCAAAATTCATTATTTCTTACAGTTTATATTCAACATTATTAAATAATATTAATTAAAGTTTTTACAAATAAATTTTAAGTCAAGTTTATAAATTGCATTTTTCCTTTGATGTATAGTTATTGTTCATTAATTTGTTTTATATTTCTATATATTATAGAGTTATTGTTGGTAATACATCAATTGTGAGCGGAGCCCTTCAAGCAATTGCTGATACTGGCACTAGCTTGATTGCTGGACCTGTTGATAATATTAAACAAATCAATGAGCTTCTTGGTGGAACTGCCATACCAGGAGGAGAATATGTTGTAAGGTCAACTGTTTAGTTATTTTATATGACCTATTATTAATGATGAATGATTGCTTTAGATTTCATGTGATCAAATTGATAACTTACCTGTGATATCATTTGTAATTGGTAGAACAACATTTAAGCTTGAGGGAAAAGACTACATTTTGAAGGTATTTTTTTATTTTTCACTTTTCTTTGATACATTTTTAAATAAACAGCCATTAAATTATTTTATTATCTAATTATTAAATTTTTTAAATTTTTTTTTTTTTTATTCAAGGTGTCTCAATTTGGAAAAACAATTTGTCTATCTGGTTTTATGGGTATTGACATTCCTCCTCCAAATGGCCCATTATGGATATTGGGAGATGTCTTCATCGGTCGCTATTATACTGAATTTGATCTAGAAAACAACAGAGTAGGTTTTGCAAATTGTAAATAAGAGGTTTGGGATCAATATGTGCCATAACCAAACTTGGTTTTGTACACAGAAATGAATGAACTGACACTATGAACGAAACTATGTTTTATATAATTTTTTTAATATTGATTTTTTTAATAATTAAAAATATTTATCGAACAAATAGAACTTTCAGACTTTTAATTTAAGGAACAATTTTAAAATAAAATCATGGGAGTAGGGGATTAGTTTTACAATACATTTCCAACAAAATGTAGAAATTACGATTGACCCCTCTTCCCTAATGTCATAGCCCTCATACACTATTATTCCTCTCTGGCATCAGTGAAACTTTTTATGTTATATTAAAACTAATAATAAATTATTATCTGTACTTAGAATTTATATGATATATAAAATAAATTAATGTATTTGTGATGAGATTAGAAGTATTTTGTATTTTTAAAACAAAAAAATTAACTCAATATTTGTATTTGATATTTTTCTATTGTATCCAATAGTTTTTTTCAGTTTTTATAGTTAAGTAATTTATAACTATTTTCAATAAAATGGCTTAAATTATCATTGTTTAGGACAATTTGGGACGATAAAAAAATGTTATTGATTTGAAATATTTTGTTACAAAAAAGAAAATGCACTTTCGTTTTGAAGTATATGATAAATACATTTGTTTTAAATTCAAAGTTTTTTAAACATTCTAATTGTTATATACATAATAAAGACAGCTATTTGAGCTATTATTAAATACAAAGTCACAATTATAAATATAGATACATTGTTTCAATCACATTATTAATGTATTTACCAACGCACGTGCTTTCTTCAAATTAAACGGCTTGCTCCAATATAGTGCCAAGTTCTTTGTTTACATTTTCGTGTTGACATTAATCCATTTTAATTTCTTGTGCATTCAACACGGAATTATTCTTAAACTAAAGCGAAAACTTAAAGAGATAGACTTTGTCAATTTTACATAATAGGACGTGGGTATGATGCTACGATAATACCGAAGAACATAATATTATATTATTCATTATTATAAATGGTATCAATGTTGATATAAATTGTGTAAACAAATATCTCTGTGAATTTAAATAATATCTGTTCTAATGAATTATATTTTATTTATATTATTTGTTTCTAATTTCTATTCTGATACCCCCCATTTATTGGATAGATTCATCAATATGCGTCAATCTATAAACGAGTAATGTTGTAATAATTGTTTTGTCAAAAGCTATATTTTAACCACAGACAAATATTATATATTATTAAATATTATATCTRTGGTTTTAACTCCGGAGATTGTTCAAAACAAAATTGTTATATTAATGTCCTCAAGTTTGTGATTTAGGTATTGTAACTTGTAAGTCTATAATTTAAGTAATTCACACTAAATCGCTGTGTAGTGTATTTCAATAAAATAGTCGTATTTCGCAACCAGCTTGACTAGAAAGTTGAAAAGTGAAAACACGATGAAAGAATAAATATATCTTTAAACGTAGTTAAAAACAAAAATATAGAAATAAATAAATAATTATAAACTGACAGTAAAACTTTTTTTGACAATTCCACCAAAAAGAGGTTGGCAACGCTGGGATATCGGAAAGTACTAAGTTTTACGACAGCAGCTGATGTTTGAACTTTGAATGATGATAACACTGATAAATGATAAAACAATGTAAACCACAAATATAAAATATGTTAAGCTAGTAAATAGGTAGTAAATTCAAAATTAATTATAAATCGTTATGTTATACCACTTGTTCTCTTATTAAACTGTAATTGTTGTTTTGTCTTGCAAATTTTAAACCTACGCTAAGGTTAACAATTTCCGGTTGACTTAATTGTAAAGATTCGTCGCTATTCCTATTTTCTAATATTTGTACCACTGATATTGTAAATTGCAATGCACCTGTGGCATTAATGCGCATCTATGCCAAGTTCATTGTAGCTATAACAATATTCACGATACTGGTGATTTTGTACTTCAACTCAAAGACTGCAATTAATATAAAATCGAAATTATTGTCTTCGAGCCATGACGTGGCGACTACATCACTGGATAACAAGTCCGAATCGAAGGTTAGCATATGGATATCGGTGACAAAAATCGATCGTGGCCACCTTTTGACAAAGTTTCGTAAGTTTTTCAAGTCCCTAATCGGTCATCGTGGCCAGTGTCGTGCTATTTTTGAATTAAATGTAATAACCGATAACGCCAGCCGTCCGACAGTAGATAGTGTAATACACGAATTTAGCAAACAATACAAAGAGACACTACTGAAAGTAAGTATACATTTTAAGTATGATTTTGATTGGAAATTTTGTTAATGTGTGTGTATGATGATTTACAGCTAGTTCATTATGATTTTCAAGACGTTTTGAAAATAGTTGAGAACAAAATTGAACCATTGAAACGATTCTTTCAATCATCGAAAGGATCTTACTACAGTGATGATGTTTTCTATCTATCACCAGCACTTCATCTAGTCGCTCCTATTTCTCTGGAAAAAGCTATTGTAGTTGATGTTGATACAGCATTTCAATCTTCCATTTGTGACCTTTACAATGTGTTTGACAAGTAAACAGAGTTATAAATGCTTTGAATATACTGAAAAAAATAATATTATTGTTATTATAGTTTCACCAGCACACAACTGTTTGGTTTGGCGCCAGAACTATCCCCAGTCTACCATCATATTCTGTGGAAATGGAGAAACTATAAAGGTGATAAGTACAAAACACAACGATACCCAAACTTGAATGGCCTTAACAGTGGTGTTTTATTGTCATATTTGGAGCGGATAAGAAGAAGCGTTGAATACGATAGACTTATCAGCCCTGAATGGATTTCTAGTGTTGTTCAAAAATATCTATTTAAAGTAAGTGAACACATTTGTCATTTTTTGTTCAATGTAAATTATTGATTTATGATTGTTGTTATGATTTTAAGGGACATTTGGGTGATCAAGACTGGTACACTCTGGTAAGTTATGAACACCCAGAGTTAATATACCGTTTGTCGTGTGGATGGAATCGCCAGCTATGCACATGGTGGAAGCTACACGGCTATGCAGATACATTTGACTCATTTGCAAAGTGTACAGAAAAAGTACATTTATATCATGGAAATTGTGATACACCTATTCCACCTTAATAACATTTCTTCTGATCAAAAAAAGTGTATTGGGTTGCATGAAAAATGAATTGATTTTATGATTCAATAAAATGTAATGGACCAATCATGTTCCACTAAACCATGTTTGAAGGACTATTAGCTTACTATTGATTCATAAATGTTTACTAATTGTTCATGCAACTTGGCAATACATGATGTTTGCTATAATGTCATTGAATTACTTGTTTTTGTATAAACTTGAACCGTTATATCTACATAAAATGTTGATTTTTTTAATATAATGTTATTGTTTTTAAATAATAAAATGTTTATTGTATAGGTTGTTTAAATTTGTTTTTTTATTGCATATTGTATTATTGAAATTATTTAATGTCTATTGCAGTTTAATTAAATTAATCTAAAATGGCAAAAGCATAACAGAAGAATAGAAACAATCTTTCATAAATTGTGACATTTGTTGATCGATGTGAACGGCAGATAAAGATTAAAAATTCTACATCATATTTGTTCATCTTCTACATGTTTCTGGGTACCTATTACTTAATTGCAATTATGTCTTATTAGCATTGGCTTATTTCAGACTCAACTTAAATTTTCTCAAAGTGAAATATTTTATATTTTATAAATTTTAGTTAGCTACAGATACATTTTACAAATAAATTTCTTAATATTTGATATTGTATATTTCTTAACAAAATAAATTCATAGTGTAAACTAAATACAATAATACGATAGTTAAACATTGAACAAAATATATTATTTAACTTTTATTAGTACCTATTTGAGGAAAAAGAACTGCAGAAGTGTAATTTTGTATACTTGCTAGTTTCTACTCTAAATACATCAATGCTCTCAGCACCTCTTTAAAAGTTGTATTGCTAATCGCTATGGCCGCCAGGGTCTAAATATGAAAAGTATTAGTTATACTAAAAACGTTTTATTGTCATATTGTACTAGTTAGTATTATATGCAAGAGCATAGAGGGTGCCCAAAAACAATCCAGAAAAAAATTTGACTGCAATTAAAAATTTTCAAAATTCTTATGACCCCTGATTTTTATTAATAGGCACCCATATAAACCTAAAGTGTGCATACCTATGATTATAAGTAACTTTTTATTTATTTAAGTTTTCTTGACTTACAAATCAATTAAACTTATTTAAGATTTAAAATTATGGACATTTTTATAACATATATCAAAGGTCACAATCATAGGCATGCATAGACTTTAAAATTAGGTAATGCTCATCTATGATCCTCTGCCCTCTAGGCAACAATTTTATAAATACAACACATTTAAATTTTATTTTTTGAAATAATTTTTCTGCTTTAGCAATATAAATGACATTTTGAAGCACTCCTATGCATAGAGTATAGGTACACATTATATATTAAACAACCGGGAACGTAGCCAGGATTTTATTACGATTTACGGGAGGGGGTCAAGTTAAAAAAAAAAAAAAATCACTGTAAAAAACAAGCGTTTCTGCAAACTACAAAATATCAGAGTAGGTACACATACGGATATAATAATAATTCAATGTTTTCAATCTAGTTTTACAAATATTATCTAAAATTTTGTTTGGTAATTTAGGTACATATTTATGAGTTATGACAAACATTATATGAGTCATATTATGATTGAGCATAAGGAGCCTCTTCGGTCCACGAAAAATCACGTGGCGTGCCTTGCCAGTTGCCACGCCATGTAATCAGTCACGCCTATGTTCACAAGGTTTGCTAGTTACTAATTAGTAATTACAGTTAGCAGATAACAGTTTAACAGAATGCAAAAATGGTTTTATATACACTGCTTGAACATTATTTATAAATTATAAGTGACTGTATATGTGGCGTACTGCGTACTGTACTACTGTGTGATGTAAAAATATTGTCAGGTACTCCATAAAACCAGCAGTTATATAGTATGAAAACATGAACGCTGGACTACTTGGACACTATTCAACTATATGTTTGAATCTGTTGGGGATGAAAATCTCTTATAAGATTTGAATGTTTGATTTTAAAAAAAGTGTGCACCGTCCAAGTCGCTGATTGAGATGATTTTTGGAACAAAAACATTCTATATACATCTCCTGGGTAGGTAATAGGTATTGTCTAATATTTCGATATTCGTTTATGATTAATCAATTTTTTAATTGGTAATCGGTATGTATAGCCGGTATAGGTACCTACCAATACCAACAGACCAGATCAAAACCATCAGTGACCACCCCCTGGACTCCACTACTCCAGGTAGATAGGTAGGTATCTACTGGTCCACGCCTATCTCGTTTGCTTAAACCAAATGGCTGTCGATATTTATACCAAATCCTAGGCAACTCTAGGTTAGACATATATATGTAACCTAACCTAACCCAACACGTAATCCGAGCAGTTGGTTAGCTATTCCTATACTATTGTAATGATATGCTCACATCCACATATCACGATTGCAAGTTTATTACTTTTATTCAATAAAATAAATAACGGTATAAAGTTGCCGCACGCATATAATAAACCCTATAACTTCAGTCAAATAAACAAGTGCATGCGCGTCATTTATGAGTGTATGAGCACCATCTATGAATGAGCACCTGGTGCATATTTTAACATACAAAGTACGGGGCACTATAGTGTCCCCCAGTGATATTTTAATGCTACCCACTGGCCACTGGTGGGTGATCGTGCCACACTGCCACTGACTAATACATTCTCATAACGACCGATAGGTACCAATGTCAATTATTATGTATAAAGAACATAAAACTATTTTAAGCTTTCGACTTGTATAGTTTATCCTACACTATATAATAAACAATAATAATATTTTATTGAATGYAGAACATGTCACATGCTCACAACTATTTTGTCGGAATTGTTTATATTATATACCTATTGATAATATAAATTATACGAATAGATATAGCTGTACTGATGTAGTGCGAAAATAGTACACGTAATTTTAACGATGCTATCAATTTCTTCGGAAGTCGTCGATCGTCACCGTAAATTGAAGGTTGCAGGGCGTGGGAATAAGGTGCTATATTACAACATTTCTAATTTTCTACATATTTTGAATTTTCGTCCTGTACTCCTGATAGGCGAGGTGACCATACACTGTATAGGTAAATTTTATACAATTGTTTAGAAGTATTCATATTTCATAGCATTGT